TCGGGCAGTCGTTCCTTAATTTCACCACTCGCCCTCGCCGTGTCCGAGGAACACAAGGCGACTATGGGCGCCTGTATGATCATCAACGCCTTTGAGCGCGCTCTTATGGAGGATAAGACACTTGCTTCTCCTATGCCGGTGCTGGCACCCGGAGCGGATGTTAAAGAGCGGCCGACCATTCCCCTCTACCGTCAGCGCCATCCTCTTATCGGTTAACGAACCTCCCTCAGGTTGGTTTTTACAAGTTTAGTTTTTAGTTTTTTGTTTATTTGTGAACATTTTTATTATACACTATTATATTTATAACCATTTTTGTACGCGTGTTTCTCTCTGCTTATTTGTGATGATGATGATGATGATGCACTGTGGTGACAAACACAGACTAACCGTCCAAACTTTTCTTTTCCTCTCTCCCCTTTACAGCAGCAGCAGCAGCTCCATGGTGATGCACGCCTGACCGGCTGGAACAGCTCAACCGCCGGCCTCGCAAGGGCTGGTCAGGTGAAACATGGCACAGAGAGAGAGGGGAAAAGAAAGAGTTTGACTTGGTATTCACTGTCAGCCGAGAAGAAGAAGAAGAAGAAGAAGGTGATGATGAAAGGCGAAGACAGAGAGCACAGCAACACAAAGTTGGCAATGAAGACTGCTGCTGCTTTTGGTGGTGACAATGAAACAATGATCACATAAAGGTGTTGATCAAGAAGAAGAAGAAGAAGAAGAAGAAGGAGAAGGAGAAGAAGGAGAAGAAGGAGGTGGTGGACCTCGCGGCACGTCACCTCAAATTACACGCAGGTCCTACCCCTGCCCGCCGATGTGGAGGTGATTCACGCGGCGCCCGCCGCCGGCCACCTTCCCTCCTCCAACATCTACCCCGCCTGCTATGCGCCCTTCCTCCTGACCACCGCCTGCAGCGACAACAAGGTCCGCTTCTGGCGGTGTCAGGTGACTCCCGAGCAGGGGACGGCAGAACAGACGAACAGCAGCAGCTTCACCTGGCTCGAGTGGGAGATGCACCTGAAGGCGACGAAGCCGAAGGAAACCACCACCACCAACAACAATAAAACTTCGATGGACCTGGGCGCTGAGCCGATTCAGCCGGAGATGAGCAGCGCCCTCGAGCTGCCCGGCTCGCCGCTGTACGTCGCCTGCGCCTACTCGGGTCGCATTGCCGTCGCCTTCAAGTACGGGCACTCCTATACGGCGGCTGCCCGTGGAGATGGAAACAAGCGCTTCATCAACATTGGCATCGCCGTCTACGAGTGCCAGTCGAGCGGTGGCTCCGACTGGATCCTCGAGGACACCATCAAGGTGGAGCGCATACCGCTGCTGGAGCAGACCGATGTGGTGGATGGCGATGTCGCGGCGGAAGAGGACCTCATCGCCAGTCAGAATGTCGCCTATGACCTCGGGCCGCTGGTGGACAAGACGCTGAAGAACCAGCAGGCGTCGCTCAGTCTGACCACCAAGATCGCGTCCTCTGGCGCCTCGCCCTCGAATCCTTTCCTCTCTGCAAACTCTGACCATCAGCAGCACCACTCTTCGGCATCCTTTGAAGGCGCCTTGGAGGAGGGCTCTGGTGGTGGTGGCAGCAGCAATCACCGCGTGGCCAACATACAACGCCTGCTGGCGGTGCCCAGCTACACGACCATTCAGTCGCTGCGGCGGCTCATTGCCGAGCAGGGCAACCAGCCGGGCAGCTTCACGCAAAAGTCGCCGGTCCTGCTGGACTGGGTCTCCACCGAGGATGGCTCGCACCTGCTGACCGCGTCGGCAGGGCACAAGGTCGCCCTCTTTGCGCCGGTCACGCAGCGAAAGTCGGTGGCGGCCGTGGCGGCGACGGCGACTACGACCACCGAAGCAAACAGACAGGCGGCCGCCCCGAGGACGTCGACCACCTCGAGCACCACGTCGACGCTCATTCCGCAGCAGTCCTTTGGTGGCCCGGGAGGAGGAGGAGGAGGAGGAAGTACCTCCTCGCCGAGCAGCTTCACCCGCCAGACCTCCCAGCTGCTGTACAACCACAGCAGTGCTGCTGGCGGCCCTGGAGGCAGCCACATCTCCGTCACGCGGTGGATGGTGCTCCGGGTGGCGGAGCTGGCCTCGGTGGACGGCCTGCCGCCGCTGCCGATGCAGCTCAGCTGGGTCCGCGACGGCATCCTCGTCGTCGGCATGGACAATGAGATGCTCATCTACACGCAGTGGAAGCGAGCTGGGCCGCCGGCGCTGGTCGGCGGCTCGGCGCAGTCTTCAGCAGCGGCGGCTGAAAAGACCGCTACCAGCAACAGCAGACAGCAGCAACGACCGCTGGCCACCACCGCCGCCGCCGCAGTTCGACGCTACCCCTTTGACTCGGTGGACCTGCCGGCGGAGCGATTTGTGGCGACCAGCAGTTCGGCGGGGGCTAAGGATGCCACTGAAGCGACGAGCAACGAGAAGAACAACATCATCAGCTCCGGGGAGCACCAGCCGGACGACTATGGCCTTTTTGAGGCCTTTCGCCTCAGCTCGCCGGTCATTCCGCAGTACCACCCGCGGCAGCTGATGGAGCTGCTCGCCTTCGGGAAGATTCACCGCGTCCGCGCCATTCTCTCGCACCTGGTCGCCTCGCTGTGCTCCATTGGAGGCTCAAAGGAGGGCTACAACAGCTACAACCCGGCGAATATGGGCGGCCCACACGGCGGCGGCAGCTCATTTGAGAATGACGCCCGCAGTCCGCGCGCCTGGACCCGAACCAGGGCGCTCTCCATTGCCCAGCAGCCGTCGCCGCATGAAAGTGGTGGTGGAACTGGCGGCGGTGGCGCCGGTGGCTCCAGCGTCAGCCCCGGTCTGGACGGTCACACCAATCCGATCGTCGCCGAGGAGATTCAGCTGGACTACACGGAGATTGCCTCCATTCGGCCGCTGCCGCTGTACGCCCTCCTCCAGGCAGACGAGGGCGTCAGCGCGGAGCGAACCAAAGCGATGGAGGAGGCGAAGGCGAAGGCGAAGGCGAAGCAGGCGGCGAACAAGGTCGCCGGAGGAAGAGGCGCCGCCCTCGGATCGTCCTCGGCCTTTACGCTGGACGGCGCCGAGGCGCTGGACGCGGACGCCCTCTTCGAGGACCTCTACAGCTACAAGACGCAAGTGGAGGAGACGCTGGACGAGTTTCTCGGCAACCGGACGGCCTTCAACTTCTCCAACCTGGCGACGAGCAAGTTCCTCAAGTCGGGCGGTGGTGGTGGTGACGGGGCTGCTGCTTCGGCGAACGCAGCCGCCGCCGCCGCCGGCGACGCCTACTACGAGGGCGAGCTGCACATCAGCATTCACTTTGACCAGCGGCAGGCGGCGCTGCTCAGCAAGCTGCTCACCCACTCGCACCTGCCCGGCCTGAGCAGCCTCGATCAGATGCACCTGCTGGCGTTGGCCGACTCTCTGGCCTCCTTTAGCGACCTGGCCGACAAGACGGGCGGGGGAGGGGGCGGCACCGGAGCAGGCGACAGCCTCTCCTCAACGCCGGCCACCGCCGAACCCTCGTACCACCCGACGGAAGACGGCCTGCTCACCATCAGCGCCAACTCGCTGGACGACTGCGGCCTGCGCTACCTACTGAACATGCGCCAGCACGTCTACCTCCTGCGCTGTCTGCCGCTGATGCAGCGGAAGGCGCTGCAGGCGGCCGGCCTCGGCCTCCACAACATCATCTGGGCCTTTCACAGCGAGACGCAGGAGGAGCTGGTGCAGCTGGTCACCATGCCGGCCAATCCCACTGCTGCTGCTGCAGGAGGAGCCAACCCCGCCCTCAAGTCGATCACCTGGGCGGAGCTCCGCGAGGTGGGCGTCGGCTACTGGGTGCGCAATAACGCCCTCCTCCGCAAGGTGATTGAGCGGCTGGCGAAGGCGGCCTTCAAGGCGCGCAACGACCCCCTCGACGCCGCCCTCTACTACATGGCCATGCGGAAGAAGAACCTGGTGTGGGGCCTCTACCGCTCGGTGCAGGACCGCAAGATGACCGACTTCTTCAGCCACGACTTTGGCGAGGACAAGTGGCGGAAGGCGGCGCTGAAGAACGCCTACGCGCTGATGGGCAAGCAGCGCTTTGAGCACGCCGTCGCCTTCTTCCTCCTCGCCGGCTCGCTCTGGGACGCCGTGGAGGTGTGTCTGAACCGCCTGGACGACCTGCAGCTGGCGATGGTCATTGTGCGGCTGTACGACGGCGGCGACATTGAGACGGTGCCCGAGACGCTGAAGCGGATGCTCCAGGAGGAGATTCTCGGCTACCGACAGGGCGGGACGGTGCAGGACCGGCAGCTGGCCCACCCGGACCCCTTTCTCCGCTCCATGGCCTACTGGATGCTGCACGAGTACAATCTGGCGCTGTCGACGCTGCTCGAGGTGGGCGACGTGGGCAGTCGCCACCCGAAGACGGTGGAGGCGATGAATAGCAGCAACAGCGGTGGTGGTGGTGGTGGTGGAGGAGGACGTTCCACCTATGCGACGCCCCAGCCGCCACCGACCAGCACAGGCAATGCAGAAGAGGACGGCTCGGTTGGGAGCAACTTTGAGGGCCTCCACCCGGCGGTGTTCAACTTTTACCTGTACCTGCGCACGCAGCCGCTCATCGTACGGCGGGCGCAGGTGGCGCAGCACAACATTGGCACCACCGTGGGCAGCTCAACGGCGGCGGCAGCAGGAGCCCTAGGAGCAGGTGCGAAGAAGTTCACCCGCTCGACGTCCACCGCAAAGAATGAGCCGGCCCCGCAGAGCAAAAAGTCGCACCTGTTTAGCGGGGCGACGAACCGGGCCGATGCCATCGCCATCACCGCCTTTGAGCGGCGGCTCTTCTTCCTCACCGCCCACCGGCACCTGCGGGCGGGCTGTCCGGCGCTCGCCCTCGAGGTCCTCTCCCGCCTGCCCGCCAACATTCTCTCCTACTCGGAGAAGAGCGAGCTGGAGGAGTGNACCCGCTCGACGTCCACCGCAAAGAATGAGCCGGCCCCGCAGAGCAAAAAGTCGCACCTGTTTAGCGGGGCGACGAACCGGGCCGATGCCATCGCCATCACCGCCTTTGAGCGGCGGCTCTTCTTCCTCACCGCCCACCGGCACCTGCGGGCGGGCTGTCCGGCGCTCGCCCTCGAGGTCCTCTCCCGACTGCCCGCCAACATTCTCTCCTACTCGGAGAAGAGCGAGCTGGAGGAGTGCAGCCGGCGGATGTCGCTGCCCGAGGCGGCGCTCCGACTCGCCGACGATGGCCACCTGCCGCAGGCGGCGAAGCTCGCCGTCGCCACGCCCTCCAAGGCCGAAGATCTGTTCTCTGGAGGAGGTGGAGGCGGTGGGGGAGGTGGCTTTGACTGGGGCGCGCCCACCTCGAGTCTCTTTGAGCCCACCACCTCCAGTCTGTTTGCGCCCACCGAGGAGGAGGAGTTTAAGATTACCTTTGACGATGATGAGAAAAGTGAGGACGATGAGGACGAAGATGAGGGCGGACTGCAGATGAAGGCGCCGGAAAAGGCAGCTGAGTCTTCAGAAGCCCCAGCAGCTGATAGCAGCAGTAAAGATCAGCAGCAGCAGCAGACAAAGATTGACGTCATGGCGCAGCAGTTCAAGTTCATCGCCTGTCTGAAGATTCTCATGGAGGAGCTCAGCACGCTGGCCACCGGCTTTGAGGTGGACGGCGGCCAGCTGCGCTACCAGCTGTACATCTGGCTGGAGCGCTCGGTGACCATCCTCAAGGAGACCGTCAACTACCACACCTTCTCGCTGAGGTCTTCAAGCAGTGAAGGAGGCGGAGGAGGTAGGACGGGCAGCATCGACCACAGCAGTGCCGGCGGCCTGGTTCCGCTCAGTCCGCCGAAGTCATCGAGCGGAGGCAGCGTTCTCGTGAACGCCACCACCACCACCACCTCGGCGGCAAATCGATCGTCGTTGTCGCGAAAGCACTCGGACAACCCGCATCATCATCAACAGCAGGAGGCGGCTCATCAACAGCTTCCACCCACGGCCCACCCACAACCGCCGCTGCCCTCACTGCACGACATTCTGCTCGCCGACAAGGCCGACTTTGAGTCGAAGATGGAGCGCTGCCGGCGGCGGAAGAGCTGGCTGCTCGCCAATGAGGCGCTGCTGCGCAACCTGCTCAGCTACTGTTCGCTGCACGGCGCCCACGGCGGCGGCCTCGCCTCCGTCCGCATGGAGCTGATCCTCCTGCTGCAGGAGCTGCAGCAGGACCGGACGCCGCAGCAGCAGCTGCTGTCGCCGCTGCCGCTGCCCACCACGCTGCCGCTGCTGACCGCCTCGGTGGCCAGTCAGAAGACGGTAGTGGCCGATCCGATTCGCTACCTCCAGTCGACCATCCACGACATTCTCGGCTCGCTGGCGGAGATTGCCACGTACGTGCACATGCCGACGCGGTCGGAGTACAGCTCGGGCGGCTCGGGCGGCTCCTCGCTGGCGCCTGTTCGCGAGCTGCTCGCCCTGCCGCCCTTTATGGTCTCGGGGACGGCGACGGCGCTGACGGCCTGGGCGGTCAGCTTTCAACAGCAGCAGCAGGGTCAAGGACAGTCGAATCTTCAGCCGAACAGCAGCAATGTCCAGGAGCAGCAGCAGCAGCAGCACTCCTACGCCAGCTCGCTCTACAGTCTGGTGCACATTCTGCGCGACCTGGGCATCAGCCTCTCCTCCTGCGTCTACCAGTCGCTCTGTGACTGCGACACCGTCATGCAGAATGTAGCAGGAGGTGGTGGTGGTGGTGGGGGACGGACTTCGAAGAACAGCTCCAGCAGAGCACCTGCTCCACGACCACCGCCACCGCAGCATCAACAGCTGACGGCCACCCGAAGCACCGGAGGAGGCGGAAGTAACCCCTCTGGTGAGCAGCTTCCTGGTGGAGCAGCAACCAGCTCGGCCAGCTCGGAGCTGCTCATCAACGGCGGCGTCGGCCTCGGATCCTCAACCAGCTCGAACGAGCCACTGGTGGCCACCTCGCCGCCCAGCAAGTGGCCCGGCGTGCAGTCCCTTCAGGCGTTGATTGTCCGCGAGAAGGACGAGGACCTGCCGAAGCTGCACACGCTGCTCTGCGAGGCCTACGTCGCCGTCTACCTCAGTCAGCTGGTGTACGCGCTGACGATCTGCGACGCGGGCATCCTCTTCCGCCTGGTCGGCCTGCGCTTCACCGAGCGCAGCTGGGCGGACCTCTTTGGGGGCGGGGTGAAGCGGCTGCTCTGCTACGTGTCGGCCGCATCAGTGGGCGGTCCGTCGGGGCTTGCCGGAGGCGGCGGTGCTGCTGGGGGCGGAGCTGTTCCTGCGGGCGGAGCTCCGGTCTCGCCCAATGACCTGCTCAACGGCGGAGCGCCGCACAATGACCTGCTGAACACGCTCTCCAAGCAGCGCATGAAGCTGCACATGAAGATTCTCGAGCAGCTGAACCAGGCCTCGGGGGCGATGCAGGCGGCCGGAGCGGCGGCCGTCGATGTGGTCAGCGCCGTCAGCACGGGCATGGTCAACGTGGCCACCAGCCCCAGCAGCACCTTCACCAGTCTGGGCAATCAGTTTGGAGGCGGAGGAGGTGGGGCTGTTCCTGGATCAGCAGCCTCCTCCTCTGCAGCAGCCACGGTGCCCGCCACCGCCGAGCAGCGACCCACCTACCGGGAGACCTTTGTGCCGCCGGCGGTGTCGCTGGTCAACTACCTGATGAGCAAGCCGGAGCTGGCGGACGAGCTGCGCCACCTCGACTACGACTCGAACGCCTCCGAGGGCGAGGGGGGCGGCGAGGAGGGCGAGGACTTTGAGGACGGCGGCATTGGCGGCAAGTTTCGCAGTGAGCTGGCGGCGAAGAGCGGCGGCGAGAAGAAGGACGACGACGACGAGCCGGACGATGAGGAGTACGACAACTGGGCAAACGAGGGCGGCGGAAGTGGCGGCGCCTCGAAGAAGAAGTCGAAGCAGGACCTGGCGGCGGAGAAGCGCAAGGCGAACCTCGAGTACGACCTCTACGCGTGGTGCATCATTCGGCTGGCGGTGGCCCGGCTCGCCTACGAGCAGCTCGACCGCTTCCTCACCGTCTCCGGCCTGGAGAAGGGCGACCTGCCGACGACCAGCCCGGCGATTCACGCCATGCTGAAGACGCTCAAGCGGTGGCAGTACTCGCTGGCCTTCTACATGAACGAGTTCACCCACCTGCCGGACCGCTTCCTCCCCAACATGTACGTGGACGGGGAGAAGACCAGCGGCCCGGTGATTGCCAAGTACAAGTCGCTGCTGGAGACGAACAACACGCCCTTTAGGGGTGGCGGCGGCGGCAGTGGCAGCAGCAGCTGCTCGCTGAAGGCGAACAAGCGCCTGTGGAACTACCTGGTGCGGCAGCGCAGCGTCCAGGACGTCTTCATTCGGTACATCTACGCGAAGGCGAAGGCGGCGAAGCTGGCGCGGGACCACGGCGCCACCGCCATCTGCAACTCGCTCTCCGGGTCGGCGCTCAACGAGTCGGCGGGCGGTGGCGGCGGTGGAAGTTCCGAAGGCGGAAATACCGCCTCTGACCAGAGGACGATGCAGCCGGGCAGTGATCGGGAAGATGCTCAGCAGCAGAACCAACAGAATCAGCAGCAGCAGCCCGAGCTGGCGACCTTTGGCGGGCCGATGGGCCGGCGGATGCCCGAGCCGCTGCGCATCGTCCACAAGGACCAGGACCAGATTACCGCCTTCTGCCTGAACCGGTCCTCGTCGCCGGGGCTGCTCGCCATCAGCACGCAGAAGGAGATTCAGGAGCTGAACATTCGCCCCCTGCTGGACGCCTGCGTGCCCTGGCTGGAGGAGGACACCGAGATGGACATTCTCAACCTAAGGCAGAAGTGAGTGGTGGTGACCTACAGCGGGAAATGATTTGTGCCTTTCGAGTGTGTTTATATCTTTTCTTTCTTCCTTTCTTTTTCTCCAGACACGACCTCGCCTACTCCACCTCCTCCTACGTGGACTTTCTCCTGGTGCAGCATCCCTCGGACCGGCTGCAGACGTCGCCCGGCGGCCAGGCCATGGGACGACAGCAGCCGCTCAGTGCAGGGGCAGGAGGGGCGGCGGCTGGAAGCCAGCAGACGCCCACTAAGCAGCCAGTTCTGGTAAGTTTCCATATTTCTCAGCTGCTTTCATTCACTTCTCAATGGTGGTGGTGGTTGTCTGCTTTACTAACTCTAACACTAACCATTTTCCTAACCTTCTAACATTCTGTCTTTCTCATTGTGCCTACTCTTTCTTCTCGCTTCTCCTCCTTCTTCTTCTTCTTTCCACTAACCAATCACAAACCTGATCAGTCAAAGCATCACTTTCAAGGGCACACCAATCCCTACTTTTGTCAGATCATTTTTGAGCGGAGTCGTCAGATTTTCATGCCGGTAAGAGCGGAAGACGTGATGTGTAGAAGACGTTGGTGTTTTTAGTTTTTTCCGTTTGCTTGCTTTTTTTGTTTTGTTTTGTTCTTTTGATTGTTATCTACTTTTTTTCGATTGACTCGCATTCACATTTGAGACTAACAACTTTGTCCATGTTCTTTTCCTCACTCAGCTCAAGCGACACAAGACGGAAACCGTCCGCCGACTTGCCTCTCACCCTTCACTTCCACTCTGTAAGTGCTGCTTTAGTTTTTTATTTCTAAATGCCGTCTAAAATGTTCACTCCAATGTTCTTCCCTCCCCCCCTCCCAGATCTGTCGGGCGGGCAGGACGGTAGCGTCGTCCTGTGGGAGTTCAACCACCAGTTGCCCATTAGTACGCCCCGTTCGCCGGGCACCTTCGCCAAGGTCACCCGGGTGGCCTTCAACCAGCAGGGCAACAAATTTGGCGTCGCCGACACTGACGGCAATCTCAGCCTCTGGCAGGTGCTCGCCGGCCACAGTCAGCCTTACTTTGTGCGTACTCTATTCTTTGTTTTCTATTACCATAACCAAAAGCTAACATTTGACTCCCTTCTTTCTCTCCCCCCCCCCCCNTTCTCTCCCCCCCCCAGACCTACCTCTGCCACAACAAGACCATCAGCGACTTTACCTTCCTCGGCTCCAGCTCGCTGGTGATGACCGCCGGCCACTCGGCCGATCACCGCAACGTCGTCCTCTGGGACACGCTGATGCCCACGAAGAAGTGCCTGGTCAGCTCCTTTGGCGCCCACGAACATGGGGCGGCCTCGATCGCCTACGGCCCCCTCAATCAGATTGTCATCACCGGGGGAAAGAAGGGCGAGGTGGCCATCTACGACATGCGCCAGCGCCTGCAGCGAGACCGCTTTCAGGCGCACGAGGGCGGCGGCAGCGGCGCCGCCGTCAAGGCGATCGCCCTCGACCCGGGCGAGGAGTTCTTTGCCACCGGCTCGGCGGACGGCGATATCAAGGTAAGAGGGGAGAGAGATATTTGTGAGTTTTTCTAATTAATCTTCCCCCCCCGCCCAGGTCTGGTCACTGACCGGCGCCACGCCGCGCCAGCTGCTCTTTAGCTTTCCGGCGGAGCACACGCGCAGCACCTTCTTCCGCAGCATGACCGCCGGCACGACCGGCGTCTCGCAGCTGTACATTGACGGCAGCGGCCGCCTGTTCTCCTGCGGCGCCGACGGCTCGCTGAAGATGCGCCACATTCCCACGGTGGAGTGCCAGCCGAGGTGGTTCTTCGCCCCCGGGTCGCCCTCCACGCAGCAGGCGCTCTTTGGCGGGGGCGTCGGCGTCGATGAGTACTACGGAGGGGGCTTTCGCGGCAATGAGCACAGCTTCATCAACGGCAACGGCGTCGTCAGCTCCTACTACTGAACAACTATGAAGGCTGATGAGAAGTCCTTCTGATCTCTCTCCCCTCTCTTTCTGACTTGTGATTACCAGTCTCTTCTATCTTCCTTCAAGTTTGTGCGTAGTGTTCTAAGCGTTCACTCGGCGTGTGCTGTGTTCCTGTTCTGTTCTGTTCTGTCATCGTTACTGCAAAGTTATTCGAGTTCATAATTGACCACCGACCACCGAGAGTGACTGCGATTTTCTATCTTTTGGTCGTTTTTCTTCTCCCCTCCCTTTCCTTCTTTCAGGATTATCCTTCCTATCCTTTCCCTTCTTCTTCTTCTTCTTCTTCTTTATCTGCTCGCCATTTTAAACGTACTCTTTGACCTTACTTCTTTTTTTCTTTCTCCCCCGTTTCTCGTTGCTCGTTTCTCTTTTCTTCCTCTTTTCTCTTCATTCCGCTTCATTCCTATTTATTTAACTTACCCACTTTTCTTCTCCTTAATCCAGAATCGATCCCAGAGAGTTGTTTTTCCCTTTTTTTATACCTTTTTTACCTTTTATCTTCACCTATTTTCTTCTCCTCTATTTTAATTTCGTCTTTTTATAATATAAAAAGCGCCACTCTTTTTCTCTCTCCCCTCTTTCCATTAGCATGTTAGCATAACTGAGAAATGTGCTACTCCATTCTCTTCTACTTTTACTGTCAACTTGTGATTGTGATTGTGCTACTCTCTACACACTACCGCTGATGATGACACACATTTGTACTTCTTTCTGTGACTACCACCTCTTCTATACAAACACACACACATTTTCTTCATTTTAACTTAACTTTATCTTCCTTCACCCACACACACTAGTCAGCCTTCTTTACGCGCAATAACACACATTACCACTTGTAAGTGACCTGCAGTGCAATTCGTATACACACAGAGACAGTCCCCACAATTGGTCAATTTGTCAAGCAATAATAAGTACAATAATAAAGTGTTGTGAGATTTTGTGAATCAAATGCTGATCGAATCGAATTTCACCGTTGTTGCCTTGGAGTTTTTTGTCAGTACGCACTTTGTCCGCCGGCTGGCGCTACAGTCGTTTATTCTGATGCTGCAGCTTTCGCGCTTGCTTACGTCTTCTACGCAGGCGCCTGTCGACTACCGCTGTTTTGGCGCTGTTTTGGTCAATCTGTGCCGTCTGCTTTTGTTGTGGGTGGTGTTTCTGTGCGTGTGTTGACGATCACTTTCTGATTTGCGTCATTGGCCTTTTGACACAGTGGTCCTCTCTCATTTGTTTCTCAACTTCCCAACACCCACCCGTCATGAAGGTCTACACGCCCCAAATCTCCTGGCACAATCGTCACTCCCTTCTCAGCGTTGACATTCAAAATCGACCATTCGGCGGCGGCGGGCAAGAAGATCCGCAACAGCCGCAGCAACAGTTGAGATACCGCCTTGCCACCGGCGGCAATGACTCTCGTGTCAACATCTTCCGAGTCGCCTTCAACAGCTCCGAGCGGACCGAGGAGGCGGCTGTCGTCCCAAACAAACCTCGGGTCAACGTCGAGTGCCTGGCGGAGCTGACCAGTCACCAGCGCCCGGTCAACATTGTCCGCTTTTCGCCGAACCTAGAGGATAACTACCTCGCCGCCGGCGACGATGACTCGCTCATCTTCATCTGGAAGCTCTACGAGGCGGTGAAGGAGGATGGTGGTGGACTGCTGGAGACGAGCTCGACAAACGCCGACGGCAGTAAAGGACTGGAAACAGCGCAGCAAAACGGCGATGCTGGGGGGAACATGCTGGAGGACGTCATCGCCGAGGAGACCTGGAAGCCGTTCAAGATCCTCCGCGGCCACAACCAGGACGTGACCGACCTTGCCTGGAGCCGGGACGGCAAGCGGCTGGTGTCCGGCTCGGTGGACAACAACGTCTTCGTCTGGGACGTGGCCCGCGGCAGCAAGCTGCAGAAGGTGCTGAAGGAGCACAACAGCTACGTGCAGGGTGTCGCCTATGACCCGCTCAACCGGTACATTGCCTCGCTGTCCGCCGACCGAAGCATGCTCGTCTTCAACGTGAACACCGGCAAGACGGTGCACCGAGTGTACAAGCTGACCACCGGGGAGAAGGAGAACAATAAGGATAAGGATAAGGATAAGGATAAGGATAAGGAAGAGGAGGCTGAAAAGGAGAATGAAGTGAAGAGTGAGGAAGTGAAGGCGCAAGATGAGCCGGTGGAGGCGCCAGCAGAGACAGCAAAGAAGACAACCACCAGCACCTCAAGCAAGCTCTTCTTTGATCAGACGCTGACGTCCTTCTGCCGTCGACTGACCTTCAGCCCCGGCGGCGAGCTGCTCTTTGCCCCGTCGGGCATCATCGAGACCGGCGGTCCTGAGGAGTACAAGAACACCGTGCACGTCTTTCAGCGAAGCAACCTGAGCAGGTAAGTAAAAAAATACCTACCTACGTCATTCACTTTTTACCCAACCTGAACTCACCACCTTTCCGCTATCATTTTCCTTCGCAGACCCGCATTTTATTTACCCACAAACAAGTTCAGCGTCGCTGTTTCCTGCTGTCCCGTCGTCTTTGAGCTGAAGAGCGGCGTCGAGGAGAATGCCTTGAAGTAAGTGTGTGTCTGTCTTGCTCCGTTCTTATTGTTCTTCTACTTGCTCTTGACTCTGCTCTTGAGTCTTGATGATGACAGTGATTAATGGCCACGTTGTGTGCCTTACGTCCTCATTCTATACCCTCTTACAAGTTCTAAGTGAGTTCTAATTATTCTTTCTCGCATCTAAATCGATTTCCTCTTTCTTCTCTCTCTCCATTTACATATTATTAGCTACCCGTACCGCATTGTCTTTGCCGTGCTAACACAGGACTCGGTCCTCCTCTACGACAGCCAGCAGCTGACGCCCTTTGCCTACGTCTCCCAGGTGCACTACCTCCGTCTGACCGACCTCTCCTGGTCGCCGGATGGCCGCTTTCTCCTGGTCACCTCAACCGACGGCTTCAGCTCCTTCATTCACTTTGAGGGCGAGGCGGAGCTGGGCACGCCCTACACGGCGCCGCTGCTGCCGATGGAGGTGCTGGAGCCGGCGCCGACTAGCGCCAGTGCTGCTGCTGATGCCGCCAATGGAGGCAATGGAAGGAATGGGGGCACCACCGGGGAAGGAGGAGAAGGAGGAGGAGGGGCTGGAGGTGCTGAGGGCGGCGGCGAAGGCGACAAGAAGAAGAAGCGAAAGACGGTGAAGAAGGAGAAGGAGCCGAAGCCGCCAAAGGAGCCGAAGCCGCCGAAGGAGGCCAAAACGCCGAAGCCGCCGAGGCCATCGAAGGTGCCGCCCAAAGCGGAGACGCCCAAATCGAAGCCCATCACCAAGTTCTTCCAGGTCATTTCTCCGGCCTCAAAGACCACGGCCTCTACCACCACCGCCAACACCGCCAGCACAACTCCTCAGTCTCCGGCGAGGCCTTTGGCTGAATCGATGGTCGAAGGAGGTGCTGCAGCTGGNACTGCCAGCACAACTCCTCAGTCTCCGGCGAGGCCTTTGGCTGAATCGATGGTCGAAGGAGGTGCTGCAGCTGGCAGTAGTAAGAGCACTGCTTCAGAGGCGACCCCGGTCACCAACATCACCACCACCATTACCACCACCACCACAACCACTCCACTGACCGCCTCGAAGAATGACAATGTGAGCAACACCAAAGCGTCGTCTGCTGCTGCTTCCGGTGAACGAAAGCGAGTCGGCTTCACGACCCTTTTTGCTCCCAAGAAGGCNTCGAAGGAGGTGCTGCAGCTGGCAGTAGTAAGAGCACTGCTTCAGAGGCGACCCCGGTCACCAACATCACCACCACCATTACCACCACCACCACCACCACCACTCCACTGACCGCCTCGAAGAATGACAATGTGAGCAACACCAAAGCGTCGTCTGCTGCTGCTTCCGGTGAACGAAAGCGAGTCGGCTTCACGACCCTTTTTGCTCCCAAGAAGGCTGCAGGGGACCAGGCTGTTGTGGCAGACAGCAAAGCCGCCAGTCAAGAGACTATCAGCAATGTTATCTCAAAAGGTGAAAGCCATCTTCTTTTGAGTGGAGGAGGAGGAGGAGGAGGAAAGCGAAAGCTCGACGAAACCGCCGCTGGCAAAGATGAGAACGACCACTTTCAGAGTGCCCTGGCCGCGGCCCCGGTGTTGGTGCCCATAGAGGTCATTGATATTGACTGAAGATGAAGGTGGTGAAGAAGCTCCTCTTCTGACTATACACTGTAAATAGGCGCCCCCTCTTTAATTTTTAACTCTGTGGTATTTTTCTTCATAATTTTTTTCTCTTTGCACATACCTTTCTAACTACTGTCCGCCATGGGTGCACTACCTCTCTTACACGGCAGCATCTTTTCACCCTTTTTATATTATTATTATTCTTGCACCCGAGAGACACGCATTTCTGCCGCGCATTTCTGATTATCACATCTCTTTTAAAAACCTTTTAAAAATTAAAATTTTTTTAAAATATTTTTTGGTACTGTTGATTGTTACCCTACTTTGGTGCAGTCCCGTCGGCTTTGTTTTCAGTGTTCATCCGACAGACACTAGATGGCAGCAGGGGTTCCACAAAGTTTATTTTCCTAGTTTTCTGAACACGAGAAAAATAAAATTCACGGGCGATTTTTTGACGCCACTTACAAGATGGCGACGATGGTGGCGTTCCTAGCGGACAACATCGGAAACTATTCACTTTTAATGATTAATTCTGTTAATTTTTCAAATGAGCGTTTCTTAGGCCTGGAACGTCGCAAAAAGCTCAAAGTTGCTTTAAATGAAAGCTAAAGACTTGGTGCACAATCTGTATGTAAATAAATTGGTTTGGACAAGTTTTTTCTTTTTAAATCTAGTTTTTAAGTTTTCAATACTACTTTTACTTTATCAAAACTTGTAAAAATCAATTTATTTTACATACAAATTGTGCACCAAATCTTTAGCTTTCATTTAAAGCAACTTTGAGTTTTTTGCAACGTTCCAGACCTAAGAAACGTTTATTTGAAAAATTAACAGAATTAATCATTAAAAGTGAGTAGTTTCCGATATTGTCCGCTAGGAACGCCACCATCGTCGCCATCTTGTAAGTGGCGTCAAAAAATCGCCCGTGAATTTTATTTTTCTCGTGTTCAGAAAACCAGGAAAATAAACTTTGTGGAACCCCTGCTGCCATCTAGTGCGAATAACTTGTGTCGACAAAAGTTCCTAGGGGTTGATAGGGGTGGTGGATCAATTTAATTCCCACGCCCCTTCTTCCCTTAGTATCGCCTGTCACGGACGCACCAGCGAACCGAGATTTTTTAATAACAATAGGGGATAGGAGATTCGAACTGTTACCATTTTTTTGACACGCATACACACACATTTTGTGTGATTCATTCGAGCAGTAAGATATCAAAACCAACTAGGAGGAGACAATTATTTATTCGTAGAAGGTGAAGTGTGAAAGAGAGCGAAGTGACTATAGTCATCATCATCATCATGGCTGGTCATTGGGGAGTTATGGTGGTGGAAAGTGGTTGAGAAAAAGGTGTTTGTGTAAGTGTGTGTGGTCGTCATCAGAGATAATACGAAACAGAGTGAGGAGGAAGAAGAAAAATAAGATTGATAGAGAAAGAAGGTAAAGGAGAAGAAGAAGGTCGGTACAGAGAGAATGATTTCATGGTACAAAAAGAGAGAGATAGGGGAAGAATATATTTGGAGTTTGTGTCAGCAGCTACGCAGAGAATAGGAGTAAACAGGAGGAAAGAAGGAAATGAAGTTTTTAGACTACAGTTCGGAAGGTGGTGGTGGTGGTGGTGGTGGTGGTCTTAGTGGAGTTGAAGTTGAAGCTCGACTGGCGGATAGGTGGAATACAATACAAAAAGAGAGGAGAGGATGGCCGTGAAACTGACAGCAAGGTAGCAGCAGCAGCAATTTAACAGCAGCAGTTCGACCTGAAGAGGAGAGCTCAGTGAGAAAAAGATGAAAAAGGGGTGAAAGAAGTGTTGGGAGTGCCTACAAGTGGGACTTGGTGGAAATCTTTCAGGTCCGACTGCTGTTGCTGCTGATACTGCTGATGCTGCTGCTGCTGGCCAAGTTTAAGCGTTACAAATTAAAGTATCTGCGTCTGTATTTGGTCTGTCTGGAGAGAGAGTTTAAAAGATAGAAAGAAAGAGAGGGAAGCTGGTTGGACAAGAAGGTTTGATGGGCGGCTAAGAAGAAGAAGAAGAAGATCAGTGGTTATGGTAGAAAAGGGAAGGAAAATATAGGAAGTGGTGATCATGAATGTTCTGTCTAAGAGAGAGAGAGAGAGAGATAAAAAAGAGGGATGATGGCGGCATCGGCGTCGGGTTGTCTAAGCATCGGAGTGGGAATAATAATAATAATCTTGGAGTGAAAAGGGATAGGAGGAGGAGGAGGAGGAGAAGGAGGGCATCGATCAAGGTCGGTCGAAGCCGATGATATAATAGTAATAATAGCCAGGTAATCTGAAGCGGTAATAAGCGTGTTCGGTGAGAAATGAAGAAGAGAATTCGGAGTGTTTCACGAAGAAGAAGAAGAAGAAGGTGAGAAGAAGGTAAGGTAAGGTACTGTGAAGCGGTGACAGTGAACTGGACAGTTTGCATGGTGGAGCTGTGGTAGAGCTCCGCTGGTGGAGCTCTCTGAATCAGCCGTCGTGAAGCCTTCGAAAAACAGTGACGACGACGTAAATAATTCATCTCAGGCCCCGGGCAAAGTTCGTAATCTCATAATCTCGACGGTCGGGCTGACTAGCGACTAAGACTGATCTGATCTGATCTGATCTGTAGCCCTCTCTCGGTCATTTGTTGTTGCTCTTCATGTCAGACTCTTTTGCGCCTGTTTGATTTCACTCACTATCTGGGCGTGCTCCTCCAGCAAACGGGCAAACTCCTCCTTTCTCAGTCGGGCGGAAGCCTGAAGTGGTGATAAAGTGGTGGAATGAAAGTGGGAAAGGGAAGGAAAGTGAAAAGAAGAGAAGGGAAGAAAACAGATGGTTAGATAGGCTTTGTTTACCTAAAATGTACTCAGCAAGAACTTACAAAGAGCGACTGGACGACGTCGTCGTACTCCTTTGCCTTCTTTGGTTGATCTGAAAGAAAACAGTATGCATGCAAAAAAAGAGGGTTAGACAATTAATAGAGGAAACATTCTAGAGAGGTAACATGCTCTAACATGCACTAGGGACAATAGAAGACAAAGAAAAGAGGCAGCAAGTTGGAGATTAGCACACCTCGGACACCGTACCCTTACCGAAGTAGAAGTCCTCGAGGACGACAATCGGCCCGGCGATGGTCTTTCGCCGCTCGGTGGGCGCCGCATGTGAGATCGAGTGCAGGTCGGCCTCGGTGAACTGGTCAGAGTCGTCGCCGAAGCTGTCCCCGCCGCCGCCGCCGCAGCCATCC